ACACCATAGTCCCACATGTATAGAAATAGTAGTAAGCATGACGAGTGGGATGGGAAGTGTCAGTCAAAATGGCTCTAGATTTGCAGATTGAGCTTATTACTCAGTGATGATCTTGATTGGTGACTTCAGTTAGATGGAGCAGTTTTCACCATGGCCCCATGTGGACCTGCAGCTCCAAAATCGCATGGACATTTCATGATATCTTGTGCATTATCATTAATAATGCATAGGTGCACACAATACATAGATTGCATAGGAGATGGAGGACTAGAAACACTAGACAAACTTATTCGTACCAGTTTGTGGAAATGGATTCATAGTGTGGTTCTGGTCTTGTGGAAATCACCAGCTAGTGGGGTTTTGGGATAACTAATGGTGTGATGGTAGATCCTTAATGGATCATTTTCTCAGCATCTTGAATCTGCCAAGAGATAATGATGCAATGCTTGACAATTTCATTTTGCAAGAAGCAAAAGGAAGTTTTGTTTGGAAAATTCAGTTGTTTGGAAACCTCAATAACTAGATAAATGAGATGGCTGCTTTCTCAGCTTTGTTGGCTAGACCTATAATGGATTTCACCAAGAAAGATGCTCCTAGTTTGTCCGTATCTGAAGATGGCAAGTTCTTAGTGAACTCCTTTCACAACAACCTGCAACCTTAAAATGAGGAGGGTTTTCAGATTTTCTTGAAGCAGATTTGGAAAAGCAAGACCATTCCCTCATTGCATACTTCTTTGTTTGGAAATCGCTTTGAAAAGAATCCTAGCTATGGAAACATAATAAAGAAGGGTGAAGTTGTTCTTACTATTGACAAGTTAATGAGAAGAAGAAAAATTATGGTAAACGGCTATTTTCTATGCAAAGAGGTGGAGTCTTGTAGCCACATCTTGCCTTGGTGCCTGTTTGCGTATAAGTTATGGACCATGACGTACGGATTATTCAGAATTAGTTAGGTGACGAATGGTGCGGTAAGAGATGAGATTTGTGCCTGAAGGGTATTGTGATAGAAAAAAACATGTGGATCTCATTCTCCTTCCAATATTTCGGGTGGTGTAGAAAGAAAGAAACATGAGACCTTTTGAAAGGGTGGAAGATGATTTTGTTAGGGATAGAGACAGTTCCTTATCCTGAGTTTTTTGGTCATGGGTCATTCTCTTGATTCTATACAGGATTTTGGGGATCTTATCGATATCCTAATTGACATGTCAATATTTTTATGCATGGGCTGGCATCCCCTTAGTACTTGTGTATTAATGAAACATATCATACTTTTTATTTCAAAAAAAAAATGTCTGCCTTTATATCTTCAACTGGAAAAGTCACCCAGTATTCTCCTCTGCTTCATAGAAACTAAAAGGTTATTGGAGTCAGCCCTTAATCTTTCTTGGGTTATCTCTGGTTTAGCACCTTATGAGCTGCAGGTGCAGACTGGTATCAAGGGTTGTATACATTGAAAGAAACTGCTTAAGAGCATTTCACTGTCCTTTATTGAGTCACTTGGAAAGAAAACAATTGGGGAATTTCTTAGGACATTACCTTTCCTTTCGATAGAATTAGTCTGGATGAAATGGCTCAAACCTTAAATATTTAGTTGAAGGTCATCAGTCTTGATGAAATTAGCCCTGGGAAACATATTGATATCTTGTATTTTTGATGAAATTGAAGGCTTTTGTACATGGGTAGCACCATCTTAGGAGCACTTATTATAAGCATGCATGGACATCAAACAAGTAGTGAACCAATCATGAACATTAACAATGATATTTGCATGAAAATTCTAAAAACAGAAAAAAACAATGGATGCATTTCGCTTGATTTGCAACTGCATCAAAAAGCACTAAGCTCATATATTGGTATGTATTCATTACTAAGTTGGCATTTGATTCCTAGAGTGGGAAACCCATCCAGTGTAGTCTTTTCAGTTTGTATAACAAGCTCTTCTTCTTCTACAATTGCCTAATTTTTTGGAATTATTGGATTGTGTAGGTCATGTACTTCCTTAGACCACTCTGTAGATTATATAAACCATACTTCGTAGGTTAAGCTGAACTCTGTGCTTTTTTTTTAGATAACAAGCTGAACTCCATGCTATATTCATGGGTTAATCTACAATGAAGGTTATAGTAAGTTATTTAGATCAACAACATATTCAATGTCCTTAAACCTACTCATTCACTGGTACTGATCTACTCACTGGTTCAGGTTATAAAACAACACCAACTCCTTCCATCTTCGAGATGGTAAATAAAGGGATACAGAATGATTGTTCCCATGGTAAACCAAGTTAACCTTCCCGTCAACAAATTAAAATCTAACGACTGAACCAAATGGCTACAGTAAGTGTAAATTAGATAGGCAAATTGGATACAAAAGGTGCTTCTACACAAGGTTATTTTTTGAGATAAAAGAGTAGAAAAATATATTAGAGTAGGCACCAAGGGAGTGCCTCCCATGTACAAAAGATTTACAAATCTAAGAGCATATCTACAATCAAACCAATATCATCAAGGTTACAAGGTTGATGTCCCAATAATATGCTTCTACACAAGGTTATAATATGCAACTGACCATGGCATTCAGCACCAAGGAAAAGGTAGGAGACCATTATCCTGAAAAACTAAAAAGTAAAGCCCCATCAACCATCCTAATCCACCAATTTTTGAATTAACGTTAAAAAAACAATTTTAAAAGAAAGAAAAACATCAAAGAACAAGATTCGCTACCACAGAGCAATCACTTAGATCTCAAGGAAAGTCAGCTATAACATACAAGAACTACATCTTCATACTTCATTTTTGGCTAAGTTCGTACCGTTTTTTTGCAAACATATTCAAGCATTATTTAACCAGCAAAACTAAAATTCCCAAGTCATTTAACAAATTAACTCTCAATATTACAAGTCAAAGATAAAGCCAAGAGAATTCCAACTAAAAAAAAAGGATTCGGGAAGAAGCTACTCACCTCCAGAAACAAACAGCGGCTGCGATATATGGAAATGAACGCCGCGAACGGGGCCATCGTGCTCGTCAAACCTGTCAATAAGTGTCCCCATTCGGTAGTCCCACAACTGGATGACACCGCTGTGAAGACTCGCAAGAATCCATGGTCTCTTACCGTGGAAACTCAGTCCCTTCACTCTATTACTCTTCGTCTCAAACTTCGTTAACATCTTCCCCAATCACCAAAATAAAGCCCCCAAACAGAACACTAGGAACAGCCAAATTACCAACACATTAGATGCGGAATAACAAAATTGTATAAAATAAAATGAATCCCAAGCCAAAACAAATCAACACTTGGAAAAGAAATATCCGTCGTGAGGCTAACAGTTTCTCAGTAACCAGGCAGGGATTTCTGAATTGCGAAGAGATCCACAAAGATCAAACAATTCGATACGAAAATTTGAGATCTAATAGAGAAGCATAAAGATATACCTCCGATCCGATCAGCACGTGTAGAATCAAGAACAATATATACAGTCGCGTTTAGAATCACGAACACTTATACCAGCAGATATGTACCGAAATGGAGAAGTTCATACGAACAAGTATATTTATAGCGGTAAGATAGAGCAGATCGGGAAGAGGGAAGGACTGGGGTTTCGAGTCCTCTCTTTAGATCCGAGTCTCGTCTCTCTGTAGCAATATTGAAGAGAGGCCCTCTCGGTCTCGGAGAGGGGGAAAGAAGAGAAGGGGACTGAAAAGGAATTTTAGTGAAGACTGAGGATACGGTGAATAAAAATTATTTCACGTACCGGAAAATAATATTCGTTCAATGACTGCGAGTATCCGCCGTTTCTGATTAGATACACCCGTTTACATTTTATAGTTTTGACGACATCCAATCATGGCCGTCAAAGTCTACAATCGGTTCGCTAGTAAAGTTTTTGTTTTGTTTAAAAGAAAATAGTTTTATTTTTATTTTTATTTTTATATATTTTAATTATTTTTTATTTTAAAATAATGAGTATTTTCTAAGAACAAAAACAGATGTTAATTTTTTTTGAAAAATACATTTTTCATTTAATGCAAAACAATAACTTCACCCGTTAAGCAACTATTGTTATAACAGAATATGTTTTACCCTCTTGTTTTCTTTTAAAGTTTTTAAGTAAATAATAACATATTTATTAAGTGAACTGCAGTCAATTTATAATGTTTAATGAATTTAAAATTTTAATTTATTAATATATAAGTTAATGACATATATGAATGAATTGAATATATTATAATAATTAAAATTTTTTTAATTAGAATAATTATTCTATAATTTACTAAAAATTCAAGCTAACTTTGTAATTTTATATATGTATATATATGAAAAAGTACAGTTACCCTTAAAATTCTTTAATTAAGTTGTAAAAGCCATATGGAAAGAAGTTATAAGAGAGGGCCAATTACTGCTTTTGATATTCCAAAGCTCATGCTTTTTTCTAAAAAGAAAGAACTCATCAGAAAATAACTTTCAAACAATATTGGAAGTAAATGAATTGTACAACATGTATTTCTAATTGTTTGTCTAGCCCAATTATGGAAAACACACACGTCTCAAATTTCAAAACACTAAGTTCAAAGAATTCATACTTCAGATCCCAGAACCTGCCACAATCATGGGAATACATTCGAATTTCAACATCATGTCTAAGACTTCAAAATTTTTCCGAAGTAGATGCGAAGGAATTAGAAATGAAGCAAAAGAATTCCGACATCATGATTAGAATTCTTTTGCTGGTGTTCTACAAAACGCTGAGAATGGAAACGAAGCAAGTTTAAAGCAGATTGCTTCAGTTACATCCCACCATTACACCGATTGAAACCTCATCCTTAATTTCATACGACTATAATCGAGTGGTTACTTTCTTAAAAGTTTGTGTGCTCTCGATATATGTTTTGCATGTAATAGAAAGAATGATTGGAAAAGAAAAAAAACTATGGAATAGTCATATACATGTAAAACCAACATATACATGTCTAAAGAGTTTACGTCAGCTGGTTTACTCTGTATTTGATATCTGATGTTGAAGATGATTCTGAGTATGGGTACATTGTTGACGACTGCGGAGCCTTGCTGAGGAGTACATCAGATGTTTCTTGCAAATGGGTTAAGAGAAGTGAGAATAAATTAGCAAATAATATTGCCCGATCTGCGTTTTTGTATGCAACTTTTCATGTATGGGAGGACTTCCCAACTGATGTTGCACTTCTTTTCTAGTTGAATGGAATATTTGACCAGTTCAAAAAAAAAAAAAAGAGAGTTTATGTCAAGAACAAAACAAACCAGAAAAAACAAGATAGTTCAAAACCCAGAGTTCACGTGTCAAATTATCATCCCTAGTCCTTGTTCCCACAGTTTCTAAAGATCCCAAATCATCATCTATTGCAGCCCATTGGACTTGATTCTGAATCAAGTTTAACCAATCGAAGGCACAAAAAGAACACATCTATTTCAAAGAGACACCCAGCATTTCTCTCGTGTGGAAAGTCATACTGAACACAAGAAGACTTCAAACTAGGCCCTGCCAACATTTTATGCATATCCACATTTCATCGCAAGAACCCAAAACAAAACTTTCAAGCGAAAGCGAGAATGATAGAAATTAATCTTTTCCCAATTTACTGCTGCAGTGAATTCAAGCAATCAGAAAGCTTAAAAACAAATGAAAATTAAATCCCATAGCTAAACAGAAATAGCTGTTGACAAAAATAGTGCATTGAATTAGAATCACATATTACTGTCCCTGCAAACCAAAAAATCCGAAGGATCAAAAAATAAGCAAATTTTGCTGATCGGCATCTGTGTACATTAATATGTGATTCGTCCTGCCTATAACCATTATCTAATTTAACAGTGGTCTTTTGACCATTCTGGAGTGTGCTGAAATAGCCCCAGTCAAAATTCTCAAAATGCTTATTACAATAAAAATCATAAACTACATGGACAATCAAGGAATAAGGCAAAGAAACCAATTGCAATCCTAAGGAGTGTAACTCTTCTGTTGTATTTCTTACCTTTTACCGGCAGATATGAATCAATTTAACATGAACGCTTCATCTGACAAAAGGATAGTCTGAAAATGGTAGAAGAATGCTCTTGATCAGCAAATAACTCATCGAATCTGGGAAGGGGAACAGAGCAAACCCGAAGCATCTGCACCAACTAAAGCAAGATCACAAACAGTACAGAGCTTTCCTTCCTGGCTAGGCACAAATCTGGAACTGCAGTATGGGCATGATACATCCTTCTGTCCACGATAAATTGGAACATATGTAGCCCCACATATCACAAACGGGTTTCTAAAATCATAGTTAAGTTGAGAAGAATCAGTCATATTCCTTTCTGCAGCCTGAAGTACTTGTCTGGCTGTCTTGGCTTGGTTCTCAATCGTGGGATTTGTCTCCAATAAACGTCTGGCAAAGTGAGCAGCTGTGGCAAAATTCTTAGCCTTGTAGCAGACAGTCATCGCATTTTGCAAGGCAAGCCTCAAGTGAGGCATTTGAAGATTGCAGTTAGTGAAGTAGGCAGCAAGTTCCTGCTGCCGTGTAGGATTGTCTTTCAGTTCCCTCCTCTTAAGCTCCATTTGCAGACCAAGAACATACTCCTTGACTATAATAATCAACTCCTTCACTTCATCTACTTCCCTCCTTGATTCAACAACAATAAGGGGAATCGTATGAAGAATGCTTAGGAAAAGACGAAGAGCATCACTGAATTTTCCAAATTTAGTAGCATTATAGCTAGCCTTAAGCTTCTCTTCCAACCGAGAGAAATTGTACACCAGTGCCGGTGGGCCTCTTACATTAGGGCTAGCAGATTCATTCCAACCCCATTCAACAGCTAACGATAATATGGGAGCAGAAGAAAATGCACGTAAATGGGTGTGGCTACCAGTGTGAAGATCAAGAAACATAGATTTTAAAGGAGCAAAGTTTCGTATTCCAAGTTGCCTGCTTAGCAACCGCATTGCAGTGTCAAAATTTCCAGCAGCAGCATGTTCAGCAGCAAGAGATGACCTCTGGGTCCATATCTGACTTACTGCCATGCCTGTAGTTGGTGCAACAAAAACTGAAGATCGGGCAGTAACAGAAGCCCTTGGGGTGTCAGCTTCAGGAGGAAGATCCAAATCCTCAACATCCCACCCAGCTTCTTCTTCATCTTCTTCTGGTACTTCCCCATCCAACAAAATTTCAGAAACATCGCCATTCTGCAAGCCATCAACATTCACCATTTCAAGTTCCTCAACCCAATCCCCATCGCCAGCCTCCTCGTCATCAATTGCACCCCTGCCAACATTATCCAACCCACCTTCAAAAATGCCTTTCATGACTCTCAAAAGCGGCCAATCACCACCACACATAACAGGTGTTGGGGGGACCAATAGACAGGGTGCTTTTCCCTCAGGTAATGAAGGAATGTTATCCCCCAATTCAGCAGCTAACCGTTCAGCAACATCCCGTAACCCGTGGACTGAAGCTGTGATGTAAGCAAGAGGTAAGTGGCCAACATTCTCTAAGATTTTTATACGCTCTTGGACATCACCCAAATACAGAGCATTGTGGAACTGACCCATTACGTCATTCTTAACTTCAGCAATTTTCAGCATCTTGGATAACTTATCCATGTTTCCAGTAATGAGATAAAGGAAAGATAACCTCTCAAAATTTTTTGTCCTCTGGTAGGCATATTCTACAATTGCTGCATTTCCTTGGCGAAGAGCCTCCACCCCCAATCTGTACCAGTGATCTTTCTCATCAATAACCTTAGCCGACGCAACTGCAATTTCAATGTTTCCACTTGCCAATGCCAAATTGAAACGTGTTTTTTCATCCTTCACAAAATGGAGAGCAACTTCAGGGAACCCTTTTTGTTGCAAATAAGCAATCATTGCTTGTCCACAAAGCTGTGAACTCCTAATCAAGCTCATAACATGATCATATCTCTTCCTGAATAAAGATAGCTTGAATATATATTCTGTAGCATCAATAGCAATGACTTTGTTTTTCCCATCACGTTCCAAGCAAAAGATAGTATTCCCAGAAACTTTTGTTATATATATTGGGACATCAAGGGTTCTAATAATCCCACTATCTCCACTGGGGAGGCAATATTTGATATGAGTCAAAGTTGTGTAAATAAAGACACCATTGTCACCCAGGCTCACTCTTTACACGGATGTC